GAGAGGGAAACTACTTATTACGTAGGAATAGGCCATATAAGCTTTACATATCGCTTTTAGTATTAGAATCTCTAAGAATCCACAACACCATTGGAGGCGTGCGACATTCCAACGCGCCTAGCCTACGCACGCGGCCTTCTCGATGTTAACAGTACAAATGGACTGATTTTATTACGTTTTAATCACGACCATTAATTTAAGATGGTAGGGTCTATTTTTGATTACGTTAAAATGCTGATAAGTTTCCAAAGTTTTCATCTTCAAATTCAAATGAATAGTGATTGTATTTATTGGAAATACAATTGGAAATATATAACCGATTTTTAAATGTGATTCTAAACATTTAAAATTATAGTGAATAAATGTCTAAAGTATTATATAAAATTAGCAAATATATTTCGAGTGCTTTGAGCACAATCTAATGTCATTCATTTACGTGATAAATAATTTTCTATTTCGGAATGTCGCTAATATTTTACACTACTAATGAAATCAAGTTTAATTAAACAGTTTTTTTATCTTTATTTAAGTTAAATATCGCTCGTCTCAAAATTGTGAAATTGGTAAGCCGAACAATATTTATCTTACTACATCTTTACCTAGTTCATGAAGACAAAGTTTAAATTACAGTCGAACTCATTTCTCTGATTCAATTCGCCTAGTCGGAGGTAAATCGGTGATTCACACCCACCATGTGATATCAATTCTTGCGGACATCTCGAGTGACACGCGAGATAATCAGACTAGATAACAAATTCGAATGTGGACAACTATCCGTTACAGGCAACGCATTACCGTACAGAGGGGGTCTGGTTCATTGTTCATGAGACAATAAATGTAGTGTTCGTAATCTAGGGTATAATTAGACGATTTTTTGATTTTTTCTTAAACCTACTTCAGGCCCAGAAGTTTCCCAAAAAATTAAATGCTTAATAATGTAAATCGAACATGGTCTTGACAGTAGCTTCGGTAGCAATACATCTGTCAATCAATATTTATTGTGTTTGACCGAGTTTTCTTAGCTTTAGCAGCTAACAAATATGTACTAATAATTAGTCAACGAGGCAGTCAGCAACTCATTATATTAGTATTACTTTTCCGAAATAGAGAATCGGTTTTCCGAATGACTGCGCGCTTTCGGGCGTGTGTCGTCGGCTTAAGGAACAAACATTATCCACGGATCACATCACATTTTATCACTCCATCGGAGCCCACCAATGGAGCGGTATCTCATTACTTCTTTAGTTAATTAACTTATTTTGATCTCCAAAATCGTGACGGGCTCTTTAAAATTTACCTTTTTTTAAATCAAGTTACAAGGTAAAGTTATAGTGCATTTCATGTTTACAGTTTCATTTGAGTCATTGTTGTAAGAGTTTAATTCAATAAAGGAATGAATAAAACGCATTTAAATTATCAGACGCAACTTACAACTGCATTAGAAAGAGGTTCCGTCACAAACATTGTGAACGAAATGCGAGCTCGTTTCCGTTGGACCGCTAAAGGAGTAAGTATGCAACATATCACCATACGCGGAGTTGAATAGATAAACAATTCAATTAGGTACGAATGGGAGACATTACGGTAACATCGCGCGCTTTGGCGCCCAATGGAACAATGCGTACATTACATTTAGTATGTCTGTTTAGAATGCGTAACATAGACATTTTGCGCTGGAAGCGAGAACTAAACGCACTCCACTCGGTTAAAGTGTGCACATTGAGATGCTCTAATGCTTAATCCACACCTGCGCGACGAAAATTGGTACTGAATGCACTAAAATTAGCGATCGAAATTTGAATTTAGTTCTATCGTAATGTATTATCGGGCTGCGTGTCTATAGACGCTAGACAATAGCTTGACTGGCGATTTTTGACACGCACAAAAGAGGTTGCGGGTGACGATAAATTTGTATGCGCAGCTGAAGGTACGTACTATCTGTACCATACGGATAAAAAATTCGAACGCTTTTAACGCACTTTAGTACCAAAGTTTCGTCGCGCAGAAGCATTACACTGTGCACTCATACGCAATTTTACGGATTGGTCTCGCTTCACTCCACTAGATACCAGTTTACATAGTGAAATAATATTACAATAAATAAGAAGGATTCTGGGAACACATACCATCAATAAGTATTGTAAAAAATCGAAATTTCAACGACAAAGTGTTGTTGTTGTATCTGTTGATAGTACGATATACGAACATACGGCTGATACCAAGTTTTTGAAGTACCTGGAATATGACCGACGGCTCCATACCCACTTTGTGCAAGGCGATCACTGCGTCCTATTTTATTTAACACCCCATTTCATATTATAATTTGATAATGAACACGAAAAAATATGTGATATTCCGCAAAATTGAAAGTAGTTTTTAAAATATTATACGTGTTCCAAATTCAAAATAATTAAAAACTTTTCTTTCTACATGGCCATAAGGCCAGACAAGTTATAGTTAAATTTGTCAACAGTCGCTATGGAAACTATTGCAAGTTGATAGATTATATTATGTTAATACATAGTTAAGAAAAAACGAAAACTTACATGAATTGAGTTCATAAAACCCCATTTAACACAAGTACAACCGTGTTTATGGCAATAACAAAATCATAAAAATAGCAAGAAATCTTGATAAGATATGAAATAAAATAAACACACAAAACGTAAACCTAGAATGGCTAGGTAGAAGAGATGAAATATCAATCTGGTCAAATTTATTCAAATATAATTTGAATAATCTATTAAAAAGTTCGAGGAAACCACGATTAGTATTCATCTCAGATACTTTTATTTAGAAATAATCACTTATAGAGGCATCAAAACAATCTAGTTGAATTCGGAATGCTCTTATACGTAGTTCGAATTGTGCAGAAATAGAAAAACAAACTAAATTGAAAATAGTAGCTTCTTAATACCTACTTATAAAATAAAACTTTGGATATTAAGAATTTTATTTCCTAGTAGTAACTATTGTAAGCTGAATGGATAAATCACATCATAATCATATTCAAATAACAAAAGGTACGTGATTTCGCTTAATTTATTTATTCAACCTCAATTCGATTGGTGGGAACGTTTCCAAACTGGCAGGCAATCATGAGGAAACTATAATTTCTCAGAGACATTTTCATTACCGCAAACAAGTTGTAGAACGAGAGTTGCGTGGGCGCATCTTCAACCATTTTACCTAAAGCGACATTGTTCGCCAGATTAAATTATAACACTCAGTAATACGGGAGCCGATCGCCCATAACATGCGTGATATATAAACACATTTGATTTGAATAAAACGCTAAACTAATTGTATAATTTAGCTGTAGGTATTATTCATTTAATAAATTTATACCTTGTCTTCGATTAATCCATATTTATGTATCTAATTCACATCTGTTTATAAGTTTATAGATTAGAGTGGTACCTATTCTCGAAAAGCTTGGAACTGGGAGTGTGTTCGTGGCCACAACTTACAAAAGACCTTTCGCTTGCGTTGTGTCAATAAACATATATTTAATACATTTAAATGAATACAAAGCTATATATTGTTTTAAACTTTCATGGTCATAACAAGGTACGTGGTAATAACCCCGTTAATAGCTATAAAATATAAAGCTATGTTGCTCTGATCTTCGTATATTAAAAACAAACACTTTATAAGGCACAGGTTCGGTCTCACATGGAGTACTGCTCTCATCTTTGGGCGGGGGCACCCCAGTACCAGCTTCTCCCTTTGGATCGCATCCAGCGCCGAGCGTCTCGAATAGTCGACGACCAGGACCTTTCCGATCAGCTTGATCCTTTGGCTTTGCGTAGGGATATAGCTTCGCTCTGCATCTTCTATCGCATTTATTGTAGTAGAATCGTAAATATTAACAAATACATAGAATCTATCTTTTTTCTACAAATAGAGATATAACAATTCTCGCTTTGATCAAAAAATCCATACCGAATTCTTAAATTCCAAATAGCTACAACAACAAAATATTTAACCAATGTTGACATTTCTATTATAACGAACTTTATAAAGAAACACTTAAAATGAGTCATTATTTTTTTATTTACAGCCTCAGCTGTCATTAATGTCAACAAAAAAAATATATCCATTCTTTATCATGACTTTTCTATTGGTTCGCATGTTTAACCAATCATAACTGGATAATTATTTATCTTCGACACTATTTAAACTAGTTACTAACTATTAGAAAATAATAAATCGTTGGGTAAATCATAACAGTATTTTTCGTCTTTTATATTTCGGTATATTTTAGACAGAACGTTTATTCTCATTATATATATTATGTATGATCTATGTCACCTTTTAACGTGTTAAAATATAAAGTTGATAAAATATTGACCTCAACGTTTTGATCTGTCTTTATATTTTTATGGCACAATAAATAAAAGACGCGCTTTGATACCAAAAATATGTTGTTATATTTAATCGGACTTTTATGTTAATAAGATTTTTTATTATTTAATTATTTCTCAAACTTAATTGACCATAAAATCAGTACAAAAGGCGGACTTAATGCTAAAGCATTCTCTGCCAGTGAACCTTTATTATTCTTATTTAATTCAAAAGAAATTAGTAAGTATATATTCATATTAAGATCAACAAATGGTCCACACGAGTCATCGATTTGATTAATTCAAGTCTCATAAATTGTGTCACTTTTTTGCAATAGTAAATTACGCGATAGTTGAAAAAGATAATAAAAGTTATTGATGACTAAATATGTATCAATATAAATTAAACGAGCAACAACGGTTTATTATCGACGTACAAACATACTTAATAGACAAATTCTCAATATCATAACTTATAACCAACTTACTATTAAATTAATAAAGTAAGTTAAAGCGAATTCATTTCTAAAACTGACAGGAAATCTTTGTTCGCTGAATAAATTCAATTCGCAAAGCTCAATAGTGTCAGTAAAGTACAGCATTAGCAAAATAACACGTGCTGTGCTGTTGCTTACTGGAAACCGAAACAAAAACATGGACGTAAAAAGGCGTACTGCGCGCCTGTCATATGGAAATCCTAGCGAGAGCGTCGAAAACGGAATGGTGTGCGACCAAAAGACCGAGCGACCGACCACTACCTGTGCCTTTTTTTTGTCAAAGGTCCGAGCGCGGGTCGGGGCAGTGCGCGAGAGCACGTCGGGTGAGACGCGCGCCGAACAGGTGCCCACGACCCGCGTCGCAGCGCGCCTTAATACGCGACTTGTGTTCTAAATTCGAGTACACGAACTTCGAATATCGAATTCCACGTCTCCGTGATAGCAACTCGAATCGGTAGAATAGACATTTCCCGCGATCCCAATGATAGCAACAGAAACAGAAAGCGATAAAAACATTTGACAATCAGAAACACGCATTGTTTTGTTGTGAATAGATAAAGTGTCGATCCTAATTGACGTTGTGACAATCTTTGATGGTTGTATTATATTACTTTAAAAAACTGTATTAGTGAATTTGTTAACAGTAAACTGTTGTTGTGTTTTGGTGGTTATACTGAAGTGGTAAATTGGGAACGAACAACTGATGTGATGTACCTCAAAATGTATATAAAGTCGGAGAGGTTCTACCAGCAGCCAGATAACCAACCTTTGAAGGAAGAAAGGTGCTTTTCCGATTATGAGGAGGAATTAGACGAACGTGAGTATCTAGCATGATATTGAATGAAATATCCAATAAATATCAGGCGCATTAGTCATACTGTCAAAGAGCTCATGTCTTTATGTTTATATGATTCGGCTATTAATGGTCGATTTTAAAAATAAATGTTAAAATTTTAATACACATTTTTACATCTGAATTTGGATGTCATTCTGAAGCGTTGATGTCTTTTATATGGACGACGACGGATGGAGGGGCCTCATTCTTTGCAAAAGTAATAAATCAGTTCTAAAATTATTTAATTACATAAAAAATATTTAGCAAAGCTATCGACAACATATTTCATTTGCGTGAATAATTTAAAATTAATTGATTCTATTCATTATTAAAATTTACAAGACCGGTGATCGCGGGCATTACGATATTGGTTACTTATCAAAGAGAGTCTTTTATACTAAGAAATATTGATATTAATTAAGTTTTTACTTGATTATATTTATTTTAAGCATTTAACTGCTAGATTTATAAATCTAAAGAAAAAATTACCCGATAAAATTCCACCCGATCCAGACAGCAGACGGGACTCGAATCCGCACCCTCCGTTATCCGGGCGGATGCACTTGTGGCATTGCAGCTTAAGAAATACTAGAAGATATTAAGAATTTTGTTATTTATTGTTTCTTATTTAGGTCCTTTACTACTAAGCATGGAGGTATAATTAATTGGCAGTGACTCGTTTTATTCTTCACATTGTTCATAGGTTATTTTATTCATCGCGATGGCAAATACAACGGAGCGGCACATCAATCCATTTATATAAATAATACAAATGTTTAACTAATTATTCATTATTTTAATATTATATCTAGTATAACATAGTCGATTCGGCGAACTTTGTACGGCCTTTATAACAGTCAACGAATGGATTACCCTAAAATTTTTAGCTTAATTAGATTAAGGATTTTCCTACCGAAATAAAATAATTACAAAAAAGTCAATAGTTTATTAAGTTAAATAGATATAGACAAAATGAATATGCAATAACATGTTCTTCAATAGTTATCATCATAAGCCTATTAATGTCCTGTAATGGGGCACAGGCCTTCCCTATGGATGGAATAGGGAGACTGTAGATGCAGCCGGGACCAAGGGCTTAATGTACCTTCCGAAGCACGGAGGAACTCGTGATAGAAGGTCTTTGGTACCCATCCAATGACCGACCATTGCGAAAGTTGCTTAACTTCAACGATCGCAGCAGAATGCGCTAACCACCTGCGCCATCGAACTCCTCATCTTTAATAGCGTATCAGCGTATTTTATAACGGGGTCAATTGGTTGCTAGGTCTTTTTCACAACACAGCCATCCCTTAATTACTTATTACCTGAAGAATTCTTGGGAAATTAGGAATGGTTCTATCTTTTTGGTAACCTAAACCATATGGAGTAAAATTTATGTCATGCTGAAACCAAAATTACGATATTGATACTTCACAATATTGAAGTTGTATTCATAGCGATTCCTTCAAAGGGGGAGCTCGATGGCGCGGGTGGTTAGCGTGTTCGGCTGCGATCGTTGCAGCTAAGCAACTTTCGCAGTGGTCGGTCATAGGATGGCTGATCAAAAATCTTCTATCTCGAGTTCCTCCGTGCTTTGGAAGGCACGTTAAGCCGTCGGTCGCTGCTGCATCTGCAGCCGTTAGCACCCGCCAATCCGAACTGGGCCCGCGTGGTGGGTCATGGCCCAATCTCCCTATTCCATCCATAGAGAAGGCCTTTGCCCCAGCAGTGGGGACATTAATAGGCTGATGATGATTATCTTGATTCATGGTGATGATTTCATCAAAATATTAGCAGGCATTGCAAGACACGTTGCAGTGTATTTTCTTTAAATTACAATAGCTTCCTAGATTTTATTAGGCTATTTACGCCCATTTTTTCTTTTGATTTCTATTTAAAATATCTATTATAGTGACCGATTTTCAATACAAATAAAAACGTACGATCCGAAATACGGAGTTCCGTAGAAGGACCGGTGTGTACGACATAGCCCGAAGAGTTAGCACGCTGAAGTGGCAATGGGCAGGCCACATCGCTCGAGGATCTGACAACCGTTGGGTAAGAAAGGTCCTCGAGTGGCGACCACGTACCGGACGACGCAGCGTGGGGCGGCCCCCAACAAGGTGGACTGACGACATCGTCAAATGTGCTGGGAGCCGCTGGATGCGGATAGCGCAGGACCGCGCATTGTGGCATTCTATGGGGGAGGCCTATGTCCAGCAGTGGACGGAGAAAGGCTGATGGATGGATGGATGGAATACAAATAAAGCACATGCGTGACGTGAGCTGTCAATTGTGGAAGATGGTGGGTTACTAAACCTTGTTTCTTTAAAACTAATTTGCTGCATAATTCCTTTACGGGTTTTTTTTTACGATATTTTAATAGTTATAGACGTAGATAGTTATATAGTAAGCCCGTATTCGAGTGCACGAAAGACATTACTCGAATTCGGGCACCCGAAGCAATGTTTTTAGTAACGCAAGCTTACTGAATGAAAGTCTCGATTTAAGTATGACATCCTTTGACATTGTTCAATATCTAAGAAGGCACCTTATGGCAGTCAATACAGTGTATTGGATAGTTCAAAAAGGTCTGCCCGTGTAGACATAAATTCAAAACTTGTTTAATTAATATACACTATCTCATTGGCTTTATAGTAACTGGTACTTATTTCAATAGTGCCTTTTGCCGTGAAACGAAATAGCTTGATAATAAAAAAAAAATACTCACTTAGATATGATTAAGTCAAAAACTTACATTCAACTCTCTCAGCGCTAAATATACTCGTAAGTATGGCGTTGATGTCTTTTGTATGCGTGGCAACGATAGCAACATTATTGGTAGTAATCCAACATGATACTGCTGTCTCCTTTTAATATTATAAAAACATTATATGAGAATAATAATTTATTATACTTCCACGTATGATATTTATTTAAAACTTAATTATACGTTATTTGATACTAGCGGCCGCCCGCGACTTCGTACGCGTGGAGTTAGTTAGAAATAAAGGATCACTGCTCGTTCCCCGTAGGTGATAGCGTAATAATATGTAGCCTATATGTTGACCAGACTTCTTAATAATATTCGTGCCAAATTTGAAGTAAATCATGCAGTCCTTTTTGAGTATAAACTCATATGTATGTCCTGCATAAGCAGGACATACATACAGACAAACAGACAAAAATTCTAAAAACTATATTTTTTGGCTACGGTATTGACTGTAGATCACACCCCAAGTATTCTTTAAAAAAAATATTCAATGTACAGTTTTGACTTTCCTACTATTTTATTAAAGGAATAGTATAAATAAGTAACATGGCAAATATTAAACTAAAACTACACTAAAACTAGACAAATATTAAAAATATAGCTGCCCTAAGTCTTCCCCGTCGGTAAAGGTTCCCAGGACGCTGGCGGCATTTCCCCGCTGAATGGCGAGGCTTATGCGCTGGGCGAAATAGCCGCCAGCTCTGCGGTCTCCACCAATCTTTTTGCGATTTCTTTGAAAAGATGGTGGGCACCGGAGCCCCAGGGTCCCTGAATCTCGACTCCAAACGCCGCAAATGTGAGGTCTCCACTGAGGCAATCATACTTGCGGCGCTTAAGGGCCTCTGCGGTCGAAGCAGCCGCTCTAGCCTGCATCGAGGTTCCGGGAATATGAGACGGGGCCAGAGTGTCGACGCAGATTGCGTCCCACACAAGTGCCCGTCCCAGCTTCCAAGGAACGAGTGTCATGCCGTCGGGCCTCTTACCGTCGTCGCGCGCCAAGCCGCTTGGTTCTAAAATGCTGGCGGAGGCGAGGGCCCTGCGGATGACATCGTTGATGCAGTGGTGGCGGGTTATACGGCCGGCACTCCTTGTGCAGGAGAGACCGTGATGGCCGAGGTTGGTGACAAACGCTCCGCACCGGCAAAGATGGGGGACGACACAGGGCGCGCCAAGGCGCAAGGACGTGGCTATGCGAAAAGTTGAGCGGTCTAGGAGCGTACCGATATTCGCAGAAGGCAGTACCTGCAGCCGTAGTCCAGACTCCCACTCGCCAACGGCTAAGCGACGCGCACGGTCTGTCATTTTTATTAAATGTATATAGATGTCAGACACTCTTTATGTCTGATAGTTCTACAACATATTATAAATATTAATTAAAATACTGTAGTACACATTATGAATCGATGTAGGAATGCCCATCAGTTTTTCTTAGTTATGAGTGGCTAAAAAGATTTGGATAAAAAAAAATCTCATAAAATTTCGGAAATTTATCAGCCTTTGATTTTATGTGTACCTATTTACTGTTCTTATTTACCACTGATGATCTCCACGGTCTTCGAGTTCATTCCTTAATTACATAATTGCTTCTTACATTTTTATTTTCTTATTGCTATAATAAATACATCACTTACTGTTTTTGAGGTATCATCCCCTATATTTTGTAATAAAAAAATAATTGGACTGCTGCAATTAATTATGTAATAAATAAGCAATTCAACTTTAGCGCTTGTGCTGAGGAGGCCATAATAGATAACTTTACCACAATGCAAATTACCCAGAACTTTAGTAAACATAAAAAAAACGCTGATTCCACGAATTTAAAATGCATTTTTCATTACTCTAATACAAATATATGTACGTTTCGGATCCTTTTGGGCTCCTTTAAAGTAAACACATCAAAATACTTGTTCAAACAGCGTTTTATTTACTAAGTGGTGCGCATGAAAACATAAGATATAAACATAGGAAATTGCATTGAACAGAAACTTGAACTGAAAATGTAATTTTACTGTAAAACACAGGTACTGATGTTTTTTTATGCGGTCAGTCAAATAATACCCATTGCCTTTTCAACCCTTTTTTACAGCGCAAAAGTGCTAAGCAACATTACCTGCAGCCATCCTGTTACTGAGTACACTTTCATATTTTTTTGATCCCAGGTAATGACAATTCCCATTCAAATATCATAAACCCCAAAAGAAATTATTTGTTACGCCCCGTGGCACC